GTTGCACAGATTTTATGTAATATGAGGCAAACGAGCGGGCGGATCACCTAGTGGTAAGTGATCAGCACCGCCCATGGACACAAAAAGTGTCTCAGAGGATTACACGTTTCTTGAAGGTCATACCAAGGTTTTGGCAGAAAGTTTCGAAATAATCGCACAGTTTTTGACTGCCAACCACCTCTATGATGGGAATGAAAGAATTTTTGCGTGAGTCGATACAGAAATTTTTCAATTCCTTACTCCCTGTTGTAGGCGATAGAGAACAAAGCGAAGCATACATCTTTAAGCAACGCCAAAAATCCAGCCGGTCCAAGACAAAAAGGCAAAAGAATGCAGCCAAAGATGAGAACAGTGTTCCATATAGGGCCAAACTTGCGTCTAAAAGAGTAGAATAGATAATAAGTAAGGTGGACTTCACGATTTATGGAATTAAGCGGGTAATCAGTGAAACTAGATATTTACCCAAAATATAAATTTTTTAGGAATAAATATGAAGTTAAGACAACTATTGGCAATAATATATGCACTTATTGATTAAATAAAATAAACAAAAAAAAATATGTAAAGCAACCCTGGGACATGGCTTCTGGAAGTGTAAAGCCGTCTTTAAACAACCTCTTTCTGAGAGCCACCTATTAATATTCTTTGTTGGTTCTCACTACAGAATAAATTATGTTTTTCATGAGAACGGGTAACAAACCAAGTTTATCCAACTAAATGTACTTAAGTAACTTCGTAATAACTTAGTCTTGGAAGTTGAGCATCTTTGGTCGGATCACTGACTCGCTAAAATAATAATATTTTTCGTTTATTATTAAAAGTAATGAATTTACCTCGGCCAAGTGTTTGTGAGACCCGCGTGAAATATTTTCTGCTAAATTAAAATGTGCTTTGAATACAGGTAATGTGGCTTTTTATCCTTTGAAGGAGAGAAGTTGAGTATTAGGTTTAAATACCTATGTATTATAGTAATAAATTTTTAATTTACGGAAAACGAATCAAAATATCTGCATTATGAGTGCGCCAATAGGATAGATAGATAGTCAATTGGTTTGATTTAGTAGATCTTAATTTTGAAAATCGAACTGAGATTCTAATTTACGTTAACAATACACCAAAGATTTCCTATTTTTATTTTGTCTTCTATCATTTTGGTCCGGATCTGCTTCAAGATCTGAGCGGGTATCTACAGATAAATCGGTTGACAATAAATTTCCTCTTGAACTTTGCTATAAGACTGATTTAACGGACATTTTGACTTCACGCTTCTAAGAATTTCACTGCTAAGATTTTGTATTGTTTACATTTTCGTCTGAAACTTTGTTTTTGTTAAACTTTGTAGGACGAATGATAGAGAAGATGAACCTTAGCATGATAGGAATAAGGAATCAATACATCATCACCATCCATCATCGAGCAAAGGCCTCTTTTCACACGGAGAAGGTTTTGAGCACCACCAAATCAGCACGTTTGCTCAAGGCGGATTGGCGATTTTGAACTTATAATTAAATATTATAAAGTCCAGGTCTTCTCACCACGTTTTCCTTCACCGTATGTCAGAAGTGTCTGAATGATCATAATGATACGGCTTCATCTAGTTTTTCACATATAAATTGACGTGTAAAAGTGCCGTTTTATGGCCTATTTGCAAAAATAAATCCATTGTTTAATTGTTTCATTTCATTGATAGAAAGGACATATATCTCGGAAAAAGTCACATTGGTACTTGCCAGGTTTTGAAGCCTCATGCATGAGAAGCGGGCGCCTTAACCTCCTGGCCACCACGAAATTTCAAGAAAGTAGTAGAAACCAATTCAAAATTAGCAATATCGAACTAAGAAAAAAAAACCAAACTAAGTAACTAACACTGGAAAAAGTGACCAAGAATGAATGTCCAAAATCCCTTCTGATCGCATCAATGACATTCCTTCAGGTCAAATGTCTTCTTGTAACTAAAACTAACCTTTAATTATGAACCCGAACATACGATACTTTTTGCGAATTTTAATTATCACCTTCATTACGCTTAGCCTGAATATAATGGGCCCTAGAATTTAATTTTAATGCTTTTTCCACTTCATTTTGATATTGGTTCTTGATTTTTCTTTTGATGATTCTAGAAAGCTAAGAATATTATTAAAATAAATTATAGTATGGGTATTCATGATTTATTTTTAAATGTAGATATATTCTGTGGACATTTAAAAATAAATATCTCCCACAGATTTCTAAATAAAATAATCAGCATAATATGATCAATAGAACTTTTTTGTTATGATGACAAAATTATTAAAATAAATGGACAAAGATATAAAAATAATTGCCAAAAATTATTAAAATAAAATAATACAAAATAATTATTTGAATAATTTAATATGAGTCTGTTTATATTAGTTTTATTTTTTATTTTTAGTAAAATGTTTGAGTCTTATCTAATGCACATGAAGCATTACTGGACAAATTTCAATCATTAATCTTTTCAGACAAAAAATAAGAGTGACGTTAATTGTCATTTCACAAAGATCAGTTATATATATAACATATATTACTAGACCCGCCCCGGATTGGCACGGCTGCAGTACTGATACTGAATATCTCCAATATATAATAGATGCAATTAAACATTATTATAAGCCTACTTCTTCAATCACCTTAACATGGTTAAATTAATGTAATTTAAATATCTATTCCATGGGTTTTTATCTCCAAATCTATAGAAAACCGCAAAAACTACACTCATATCGTTACATAACCCATTTTCATTCAACAATGAACAATATAACCTTAGCACACATGAACTAAAACACTTGTAACACCGAGCCAGCAAACAGGTGTAAAGTAATTAAATTTTGAAGTAAGCTCTTCCATATAATTACTGTTACGCGGGTGAATTACATTTACAACGTGATCTGCCTAGAAATTTGTGTTAAATGTGCCATACTGAAACGGTTGTAGATTGTGTAGAAATTGTTGTGAATTGTATGGTTTTTTTTTATTTGATAGGTGCGTTGCCGAACTTTTGGGGATTAGGGATTTGGAGATTTTGGAAATGAGGAGGGATTGTGGGAGGGAAAGACTTGGGCCTCCGGTAACCTCACTCATACGGCGAAACACAACGCTGTGGTTGTTTCACGGCAGTTTTCTGTGAGGCGGTGGTATCAATCCGGTCGAACCGACCCATTCGTGCCGAAGCATGGCTCTCCCACACTAAACTTTTGGTTTTGTATTAAATTCATCAAACCCTAAGTAAACACCGGTTCGCCCACCTATGTGCGGTTTCACCCGTTGTTCGGTTCCTATCGGTTGTAGCGTGAGCCTATAGCCTTCCTCAAAAATTGGACTAGTGTTTATTAATACAAAAATGATTGTTCAAGTTGGACCAGTAATTCTGAAGATTTTCGCGTTTAAACAAACCAACTATACAGGTTTATAACATTAGTATAGATAGAACTAACTCTTGCCTCATTTCTAGATAGATAGAACTAACTCTTACTTCTACATAAACTACCCTTTTTTCATAAAAAATTTCTTTCACAATAACAAACACAACAAAAAAAAAAAAAAAGATTTGGCAAAATCGGTTCAATTGTTCTCGTACATATAGATTGATTCATACACATATAAGTTATAGATCAGTTTTTTTAAGACTTTGTCGGACTAAGAAGTGTTAATATGAAATTTTCGTCCAAAAGTCGCAATCGAAAATATAGGAATTTTTATCTACACTTTTGTTTATATAAGTATGATAAACTCTTTGTAGGCTATTTTATACTTTAAAAAAGTTGTTAGATACTCAATTTCATTTCAGGTAATAATATACTAATCATTAATAAATCCGTCGAAAAATTTGACCAAAACGACTTATCCCAGAACCAAAATGTTCACACCAACCGGTATAATATTTCAAAACAAAAAAGTGTTATGTAATGCGATCCGTGTAATTACAGAGTCGATTATCCTGCGGTTGGCGGTTCCGCGGTCGGGTGTCCATTAATATGGACGGGCTGACAGCGAGAACACGTTGACTCTGACCAACCATTCGTGCGAGGCTGCAACTGCTGCTTCTAAAACCACAGTACTTTGAACATTATGCAACGATTCATTGGACTGTTTAGATGTTGTTTTTCTATTGCTTAAATTGCGTTTTAATTATTTTTAATTGAAATTATTTGAGAAAATACTAGTGTCAGGTTATACCGTATGTAACTTTCTGTATTAGTAAAAACTAGTTTCCCCCCGAGGCTTGATATGTTGATAAAAAGTAGCTTTTGTCCTTTTCCGGAGTGTATCCTATGCCTGTGCCAAATTTTGTCCAGATCCGTCCAGCCGTTTTGGCGTGATTAAGTAACAAACATCCAATCATCCAAACATCGTAACTTTCGCATTTATAATATTCAATTGCGGGATGAATCGCAAAATGTGTTGATAAGCATAACTCAACAACGCCTGGACAAAATTTACCAATTTTTTTTTTTGTTATGTTTGTTATTGTCGGATAAGGGTTCCTCCAAAGAATTTTTTTGAAAAAGTAGAGGGGAGATCTTTCCTTTTTGTAGATAGCGAGATAGTTGGAGACCAGTGGAACCAGGGGCAGGTCGCTAGTTACCTAATAAACGAATAATAATTAGACATTTTATAATTATCTCTAAAAATAAAGTCCAATTTCGCATCGTCATTCAAGTCAATCCAAAAATGTTTATTGAATGCGTACTTCATTTTCGACCTTACCAACATTTAAATAAAGACGTCAATACAATAGATGGCAACAAGTAAAGCATGTTATACGGGTGTTGAGTTTCGGTAATAATCGAATGAGCAAAAAAAACGACTCATGTCGTAACGAAACTCCCCAAGTATTTGATACACACTGCATTGAACTTTGACAAACCTGTTAGGGACTCAAGACACGTTCCTCAAATCTCTTCTCGTTTTAAAGACAAAATAAATATTTCTTTTTACATGGTACCACTTTCATATACGTAGTACCAAATTATAGTTTAATTACACTAGTTTACACGGTTATCATACCCCAGCTGAAAGTTGTTATTTTATTTTGTGTTCAGGTAGAACTATCCAGAAAAAATAATAAAAAAATTCTATCACGTCTGGTTTAAAAAATATTTATTTTCTTGAAGGGAAATACAAAGATTTTAGGATTAATACAAAAATAAATTAAAAATGACTAACTTTTGCTTTCTTTTTATAGTTATTTGAATCAGTTTCTCTTATGATAGACCAACAGTAATCCCCTAACATATTTTCATCCCCAAAATCCTTGATGTCGTTCTTCGAAAGTCCTTAAATCTTGGTGGAAACGTTCACCCTGTTCGTCACTCATACTTCCTAAGTTTTCAGGAAAAAAATTCAGATGAGAGTGTAGAAAGTGAATCTTTAATGACATGTTTACTCCCATATCATGAAAGTTTTTCAATAAATTGTTAACAATTTCTTCATAATTTTCACTTTTTTTATTTCCTAAAAAAATTTCCAAAGAGTTCCAAGCAGACTTTTCTTTAACCGATAAAAGGTTTTCAAACTGAGAATCTTTCATAATTTTACGGATTTGTGGACCAATAAATATACCCTCCTTCAGTTTTCCCTCTGTAATGTTTGGAAATATTTTTTGCAAATACCGGAAAGCATCACTGTTTTTATCAAGCGCCTTTACAAAGTTTTTCATGAGCCCCAGTTTGATGTGTAAGGGGGGTAAAGTGACGTTATTTGGATCGACCAACAGCTCGTGATTAATGTTCATTTTGCCCGGAATATACTCATTTCGAACAGGCCATTCTTTCCTTACATAATGATGTTGTTTCGCTCTACTGTCCCACAAACAAAGGAAACAACAGTACTTCGTATAACCACCCTGCAATCCCACTAACATACCGATGACTTTGAGGTCGCCGCACACTTTCCATTGATGTTCTTTATACTTTATTAAATTAATCAAAGTACGCATCGTTTCATAGCTCTCTTTACAATTCACTGCATGTCCTATTGGTATGGAAGGTTTCTTATTTCCGTTATGTAATAAAACAGCTTTGAGACTATATTTTGAAGAGTCTATGAATAGGCGCCACTCTGTTTTATCATAGTTTTGATTCATTGCTTCGTAAAGCCCCGGGATATCTGTGCAATAACAATATTCACCTTCTCTTTTGAAAAATTCTGAGTAAACTTTGCTTCTGTTTCTGAAAAACGTAACTTTTGTGTCTGGTAGTAACAAGTGCCATTGTTGTAAGCGGGAGCCAAGAAGCTCCGCTTTAGATCTTGATAACTGTAAATCTCGTATAAGATCATTTAATTCGGCCTGATTAATTAAATGTGGAGTGGTTTCTTGAGGTGAAAATTCGTCAGAATCACTAGAAATCGACTTGAATTCAACATCACTGTTATTGTCATCTAATATATTTGCACTCGAACTACCGGGACAAACTGGATGGGGTAGATCTTTTGAATGTAAAATCGGCTTAGTAACAGACGGAACATCGGCATACATAATACTTGCCTTATTTTTTTTGTTATATCCCAATGTCTTCGTAACACAAAAGTAACAATCATTTTCATGATTACTAGGTTCTCTCCATAGCATTGGCGAACCAAATGGAAGGTAAACTTTTTCTCCTGATGACCACTGGAGTAAGATGATTCTACAGCTTTCGCAAAACACGTGAGGCACCCACTTTTTATCTTGATTTGCAACAGGAAATCCAAAATAATGAAGATATGCAGTTTTTAACGAATCTACAATAGGTCTTCTCTTTTTTGAAAATATAAACTGTCCACAAACATAACAAAAACGGTCAGAACTTTGTTTGCACTTTCTGCTAGCCATTTTAAATCAATCCAAAGCAAAGTAACTGTCGTTTGAAGCGAACGAATAAACAATAAAATATCATCACCACGTCGGGTAGTTAAAAAAAAACAATTGACGGCAGAAAAAAAATCCGACGTGATAAAATATTTCTGCTAACACTTTTGGGTTTAGGGAAGGTAGATTAACATATTGACATACATTCGGTTCGGGGTATACATAAAAAGTAAAATTTTGTAAACTAGTGTTATTTATCGCTAGAAGTACCTTTAAATTTTCTATAATAGTTAGAATTGAAGCAGTATGTATTGTCCAATAGAGTGAATAATTCGGAAAAGTGCAATAACGTAAGACGGCTTCAAGCTGGAGCAGAAAAAAACGGGGTGGTTATTAGGCATTAAGAGGCTGACACTTCTTTTCGCCATTCCTTGGGCGTGAAAAATCATGACGTGATGGATATTCTCCCGCGAAAAAAAAAATAAATAGACAAAATCATGTCATTTTTCTCCGGGTATTAAAAATCAAAACGGTTGCTTTCCGGCAATTCGTTAATCAATACGTAAGCTATATTATCCATTTTTAAAAATGTTGTCAAAATTTTTGATTCCTATAAAACACTTATGTCAGCCAGAATTGGGAAAATAGTCGTATGACCTCTTCCACCGTGCGTAAGTGAGTATCAGACTCTTGATTTAAACCATTCTGTTACTTATCCTGCCCAGGGCTATGACTGAGGTACATTATTGGGATTGCTTCCGAAATCCCAGCTGGTTTCTGGGCCTAGTGGGCCCCAAAAGTAGTGGTCTGATGGCTCTTTAAGTCGTGCGTGATACGCGACGCGCCCTACGCTCTTAACTTTTATTTTTACTTATAAAACAATAAATAACAAATTGGCTATATCTCAGCCTGTAACTTTCATTATATTACCAGTAATAAAACACTCGTGGTAATAGAAAATAATCCACAATTCTTCTGAAGTATCCATATTGGATATAAAAAGAATATTTATCCAGACTGAACCCATCAATCAATGTCGGAATACAGATAAAATAAAAAAACATATAACGACAGTACTGTCATCACTTTGATATGTAATTCAATTTGGAAGCGAACCAAAATTGTTTTGTTTTCAATATAAAGTAGTTGAACGATTGAAAACGTGATATTATTGTTGTTTTGCCGGTAAAAGGCAGTTGTTTTGTTTGTTTAGTTGTGATGTGGTTTCGGTTTGGAGGTTGATAAAATCTGTTTTGTTTTAATGGAGTTTTAAAGACTTAGCGTTGTGTAATTGTAGGATAGGCCTGTTGTAACTTGTGGGTTTCTTGTGTAAAAGTACGAATAGTTAGAGGTGAAGAATACTATTAAAATTGCTGGATGATGCGACCCCCTTTGTAACGTCTCCTTTATAGGAATGCAGTTTGTTGTTAGAATTCAAAGCAAGAAGGAAAATGCTATCGACAGATCTAATGTATTTGAAATATCTACTGTTTTTCGTTTTAGTTAGAACTTCTTGTAATTCTAGTACATAACATTTTCCGTTGCCAAAGATTTGATTGTTGACCAATACGTATTAGGTAGAAAAAGTTTACGCAACAGCATGCTTCGGAACTTATCCTACTTTTCACCTATCTAATGACAGTCCGATTCACCAATCTGAGTGACAGTGTGTAATACTTATAAGCGTGCTTCCTTCAAGTAATTTTCCACTTGATCAGACAGTCGACTTTTTTCCCTTTTTCTGTTTCCCTATCGCAAGTCGAGTGTAAGCTTATTGGCCTGCTAAGAATTCTAATAAAAGTTAGGTACATCAAGTTAGTAAAACTAAGTAGGTCTTTACCTCAGCCGATTTTGAAGGGGATCGAGATAGCACTCGATTTAAATACGGGCTTGTTACGTGATCCGAATATCAGAACATTTTCTTCTTACTCCGTTTTTTGTTTATTGCGTCCCAAATGTTGAGTAATTAAATCAGTAACTGCTTGAGATTTGAATAAAGAATTTGAGTTTTTTCGTATTTCTTCGTTTGAAAGTATTCCATTCATATTTTTTTATTAGTGGCCTGAATGTTTTTGTATTTTTTGGTTAGTAAAATAATGCAAATTTAATAAATAAAAGATGTTAGTTTTAATTTTTTCCCGTCTTTCTATCTGTCTGGTATAATTCATTAAACTGTTTTTTCTTAATTCGAAATGTTTTGGATAGTGAATTGTGAGACAAAATTAGGTAAATCAAAATTTAAAGTTTCACTGCTCTCAATATATAAGCTTAGATTTTCTACGATAATACTTTTTTTGAAGGAAGAACATCATCGAATATATTATCTCTGCAAGAAGGAGTGTCAGATTCTCACTGCCTCAAAATCATCCCGTTTCCAGGCTGCAACTACGGTACATCATTGTTCTTGACCCACAACCCCAATTTATGAGAATACTTGATTGGGAAAATGTTCGGTGTAAATATTTTTTTTAATGTCTGTTATTATCAACCACTTTTTTATGATAGGTCGGCAAACGAGCAGAGTGATTATCTGATGGTAAGCAATCAACCCATGGACACTCGCTACAACAGAGGAGTTACAAGCGCGTTGCCGAACTTTTGGGGATTTAGAGATTTAGGGATTGGGGGAGGGGAAGGGTTGGGCTTCCGGTAACCTCCATCACACGGCGAAATACAAAGCTGTGCGTTTCACGCTGATTTACTTGGAGGCCGTGGTATTACTCCGGTCGAGCCGACCCATTCGTGCCAAAGCATGGCTCTTGCACACTTAGAATGAATTTTCAATTACAACCCACTCAGGAACTTTGTTTTTTAGACCATTGTAGAACTGTAACGTTAAATGGACGAAGCGACAACCATTGATATGGTTTCATTGGTAGTAGGTTTGAAGGTCGTATCGTTTCGAAAATACCGCCGCCGGAAGACCATTCCAAAGTTTTGCTGTGCGGGGCAGAAAGCTTCGCGTAAATCGCACAGTTGTTTTTGCGTTGAACGATGGCGAAAAGATGCGGCGGGGATAAAAACGAACAATTCCTCAGAACGCTTCCCGTGATATATGCGATAGAGAACACATATAGCATGGTAGTTATTTCTTTTTTGTTTAAAGTCCACAATGATAATAATTGGCTACTCGACTATTTAATAATAAAAAAACGACTCTTCAATGCAATTAAATACTATGAAATATTGACAATTTTATTCTGATTAAATAATAATATTCGTAGTATTCTGGCTTTTCTAGAAATGATTATGACATAATTCATAGAAATCTATAGATATTGAAAATTCAAATACATTTTTGTTGTATGTGCTAAGCGTTTGCCGATTGTCTATCATCACCTTATTTTTTGTCAGGGGAAAATCATCAATTAATGACTTACGAAAGTGTCAGACTCTTACTGACTAAAAACCCCCCGTTAAAAGTCAAAAGTCAATTATGCCACAGTGGGCACTTTTGAACGTCAAGCAAAAAAGAATAAAAAACAATATTTATTTATTAATAGGTTTAGTGTCAGTCTGTCCGTCTGTCCTCTAGTTCATATTAGTCCTCTAGCATTTGCTCGTTCCTTCTCCTGTTCTGGACCGAGGCCGCGGTGCCTCGTTGCGCCTAACTAACAACCCTGGCTGAACATCAGCCCTAAGGGCCCCGTCTGAGGTGGTATATTGGCCCAAAATGGCGCGCGGAACGCTACGCGCCGTACGCTCGGATCTGGTTCTGGTCTGGCGGTGAGCTACCCTTACTCGCCGCGCTTACGGCAAACGAGTAGGCACATAAGATGTTTTTCACATAATATTAAAAAAATATTATTGGCGTAAGAATCAAATATCAGTTTTGCTTCTAATCATTTAATTTTGTAGGCTGTGAAGAATCTATCAATAAATAAAAAGGTTATTTGTGCCATAGAGCATACGTCTATTTTCCTTTGCATACATTTCTATAAAATTGTACAAGAATATTAACTTTAGAACAGAATAAATTACTATTCATTTTTTACAAATCAGGAAGCAAAGATTTAGGCAGTATTCACTGTATTGTACATAACATACATATGCCTACATAAGGCTATAATTATTAGTCACACATTATCCGCACAGTGCCCACTGTGGAGCAAAGGCCTCTTCTCTCACGGAGAATGTTTTGAGCATTAATCACCACGCTTGTTCAAGGTGGATTGGCGATTTCAAAGTAATAAGACCAGGTTTCCTCACGGTGTTTACCTTCACCGTATGTCAGTAGTGTCTAGATAGTCATAGAAAGTCCATTTAACTCGGAAAAAGTCACATTAGTACTTGCCAGGTTTCAAAGCCGCAACCTCAGCATGAGAAGCAGGGCGCCTTAACCTCCGGGCCACCACGGCAGTAACAGAATTATTATTAATACTACACATAATATATTCATTAAAATTACAACCTACGGTATGTATCATAGCAACGCTTCAGCCGTTGCTTTATATTCTTTAAATGACAAAATATAATTTTACTTTACAAAAGAAAACGTTGGCATTTCCGTAACTGTTTGTATGATAATAATATTGCAAATGAAACATTGTAAATATTAATGTTTGATTGTCTTCCTACACGCTAACGGCGTTTTATTAAGCAATGGTTTCTTATTGTTTGTTTTTTTACAATCTCCCAAAAACATTGTGTTTACAAGTCCACGAATCAATTTAAAATAAGAATACAGATATTTAATTTTTCATCAAAAACATCTGTAAGCTCTCCATACTTTAGCACGAATGGCCGGCCCATTGACCGAAGTGATACCACGGCCTCACAGAAAACGGGCGTGAAACAATCACAGCGTTGTGTTTTGCCCTGTAAGTGCAGTTAACGGACATATCCTTGCCCGCCCCCAATCCCTTCCTAATTCCTAAGTCTCTAAAACCCTTATTCCCAAAAGGTTGGCAACGCACTTGTTACTCTTCTGGTATTATGGGATTACTTACCGTCAGGTAATCCGTCTGCTCTTTTTACGACCCATCATTTATCAAAAATAAATAAAAACAAATTTCTGTCAACAACAAAATCACTACGCTATCTGCTCATAACTTGATTTGATCTGAATTCGAACAATGTTTAGATTTGAACAGTTCTGATCCATGCGGAATAATCCTTTGAGGCTTTTACGTTAAACATTTGAAATGTTCAAAATTATTGCGGGCTAGATTTTGCTAATGGTTGGTTTTTTTT